TATAAGAGAGATGTATGAATATATAGATTAATTCGTTCATTCAACAATGAAATTGTTTCAAGTCTTTTCTGTCCTTTTTTTTTTTCCTTGAATAGTTCATTTTCTTCTTGGCGCTGATTCGATCAGCAAAGCATGTTATGCTATCCCTTCAGATTTTTAAGTTTCAACTTATTTTCCTGTTTCGATACAGGAGCTGGAATCTGATGATGTTATTACTTCATCCGAATCCGAAGATTGTTGCTTGACAGTCAAAAGATCTAACAAGGGTGGAGATCGGAGGAAGCACCAAAGGATGTGGACTCTTGCTGAAGTGATGAAGCTGATTGATGGTATTTCTCAGTACGGGGTTGGAAAATGGACTGACATAAAGAAGCTTATGTTTTCTTCTTCTGTTTACCGCACTCCTATTGATCTGAGGGTACATGACTTTGTTTTAGACAATTCATATTTCCTCTTATTTTAAACTTGAATTTCGTTTAATTCTCATGAACGTGTAGGACAAATGGCGGAATCTTTTGAGAGCTAGTTGCGTGCATAAACACAACCAAAAGCACAACCATATAGAGGTTAGTTTTGTTTCACAAAAAAGAAAAAAGAATCACAAAAAGGCATGGAGGCTGTGTTTCTTCTCTTGTTTTTTCTATTTTGGTTGTTAAATTGCTTCCTTGTTCTTCCTCAAAAAAAAAAAAAGAAAAAATAATTAAAAAAAAAAAAAAGAAAATGCTTGTTATATTTCTGTACATTTCAATTGTTTAAGATGTTAATTAACATTCTCTTTTTTTGATGAACTATCTGAGGATTTTACTTGATATCTGAGATCAGTTGCAGACCAAATTTTTTATGTTTGGAAATGCTGATTATGCTTCATTGCGTTCATGGCTATGAAGATACAACTTATGAGTCATTTGCTATGCATGGACATTATAAAACTCCCTTGTTCATACGGTCCAAAAAGGATGAGTATTTGGACTTGGCTATTTCTGATTGTTAGATCAATGTCAAAACCCAATCAAGGTACTTAAAATTGTCAACTCGTTGAGCTTGTTTGTCGATTATATGCATGTGCATGAAGTGTGTTTTATATCCATGGATGGTTCATGGTACATCCTAGCAAATAGATCTTATGTGGCTATCAGATTTTGGGTGAGATTGTTCTCTGTTTCTGTGCCTTAACTGTTTAGCAAAATACTGTTTCCCATACTAATATGAAGTTCAAATGGATTTTTCAGGTGGAGGAGAAAGTGAAGCATGCTGTGTGCCCTCTTCCGAAGCATGTAATACACCGTATCCATGAACTGGCTGCCATTCATCCATATCCAAGGAAGAGAATCTCAAAATTTTCATATACCAGCCAAGTTACCTCACCAACACTGCCCCTCATCCCCAAGGGTTATCCTCTTAGTCTTCATGGCAGAAATGTGCGGAGGAAGAACCTGTAAATGAAAAGCAGTTGTCAGTTGCCTGCATCTTAAATTCAGTTGTATAGAAAGTATCTTCTGATTTACAGTCTTCCTTTTTTCCCATTTTAGGCCATGGGCTGTGCATATACATGTTAGCAGATCAGTTGAAGGATCTGGACGCAGAAGGTTGTGAGTGTTTACGAGTGGGTCTAAATTCCCAATTTTAATAGCTGGATATTTGGCTATTGATGTTGAAATTAGAAAAGCTTTTTAACTTTCAGGCCTTTTTTCTCCCTGGAGCATGGCTGCAAATTTTGTTTCTTCAGTTTTTCCAGTATGCCCTGCCTGAGAGGCACTCAACGTTTCTATGTCAGATCGAATTGTTGTCTAGAATGAGTGATAAACCATGGAGCCAAAGGTTCTGTGAAGCATTGTGTCATTTCCGTAGTTACCATGATATTTTGGTGCGCAATCCAATATTATTTGGTGCTTTTCCGAAGAAAAGAAAACTATTTTTTTTTTTTAATTTCTTAGCTTATTCTTTCATATTGTTTCTTCTTTCCACTGCTTTCACCCTGGCAATCAGCGTGGCGTCTCTGCTTTTGTCTGTATATTCCGCGGACAATAACTCTTTCATATCAAATCAGGTTCCAATGTTGTTAAGATGATATTTAAGAAATTTGTTGCTCTTGTTTTATCCAGTCTTTCTTGTACAAGATGGTTTCCTGACTTGCTCGAGGTTAAATGAGATTGTATTTTCCTAAAAACAGAAAACACGAGTTAAATACACAATTGGTGGAGATGATTGCAGTCGAAATCAATAGATGTCAAACGAAAAGAGAAAATTAAGTAGTAAGCTATATACAATTTTGAAACTGTTTTGTGTTTAGGAGGCAAAAACTACATTTTCACTCACACAACAGAAGAGAAAGAATTAGAACCTTGTTTGCTTTTACATTAATAATTAACAACATTACTGAATTATACATTCCATACGTTTCCCTCTCTTGGCTCTCATATCACCTATTATACATCTACGATTGATCTTGATAGGCTTAACAACCATCAGATCCGCACGAGGAAGATGCTGAGTTCAGGCCCGTTATTTCCCTCCGGGCTCAACATGTAGAGAGTCTCCGAGTCTCTCGACCCAACCACGCGGTCGAAGTGAGCCCTCATGTAAGCAATCTCTGCATCCGGGCCATCGGCGTCTGAGTTGCCAGGAAGAACGCCGGCGCCCATAGATACCGCCTTCAACACCTCCATAACATTCAAGTCCTCCTCCGTCGCCTCCCTCTTGACGGCGTAACCGTTTTTCTTACCGTTACAATACATGGTCCATACGGGCTCCTCCACCAACCTCACCCTCTCGGCCTTGTCGGCTTTCTTCTCGCACTCGAGCGCGATCCTCACCATCCCCGCGCTGAGTTCCTTTTGTAGCACGTTGGTTTGCATGGCCAACTCCACGACCAGCGATGGCAGGCACCTTGGATTCTCTTGCATGGAAAAGCTAACCCTGCCTTTTCGGTAGCCGAAGAGCGTTCCCGTAACCTTGGAGCCGCTTGAGCCGCGATGGCCGTCAGGCAAGCCGGTGGGGAGGACGGGGATCTTGCATACGGGTGTGATAATGGGGAAGGAGCGGAAGACGGAGCGGAAGACACGGAAGACCTTAACTTTGGTCTTCTTCTTCTGGGAAGGCTGGACAAGGGAGACGGGGTGGCGAGGCGGAGGTTGGGCAAGAGGAGGAGTGGAAGAGGTTTGAGTGGAAAACGAATCGTCCGTAGAGGCGGCGCTGATTCGAGGTCTTGGCTCTCCCATTAATGGAGATTGATGAAGCAGGAATGGGAGAGGGGGAAAGGGCCATGGGGGAGAGAGAGAGAGAGAGAGAGAAAGGGAGGGATTTGTTGAGTTGGGTAGTTTTTTGCGGATTGAGACAATGAGTCTGGGTTGTAACTCTGTAACACCCCTTGAATTGTGCTCCTTTCTGTGGATTTTAATTCTCCCCTTAATTTCTTTTCTTTTTATTTTTTTTTTAATTTTATTTTTGGTTACAATATTTTTTTTACATATATATACGTTATAATTACTTAAACAATTATGACAATCTTTTCTAATTTTTATATTTAAAATTTTTACTTGGAGAGACTAGTAGTCGGAAGAATGATTAAATTAAATAACATTTTTTGAAAAAAAATATTTTATTTGTGGTTTGGTTATTTTATAAACATGCCAACTTTTACACACTTATATAAATCAAAATAAAATGCATCAAACAGAGCCTTAAATTTTTTATAAAATTTGAACAATGTTTTTTAAATTGAAATTAAAATTTCATAGAAATGTAAGTTTTATCATTAATTTAAATAGTGGTTTTTTTTTTTTAAAGTAAAATTATGCGTGACAAATTTTAGTCACTTCCACATTGTAGTCTCATTTTCATTTGACTACTCCAAGTCTCGAAGCATATACAAAATTTTACTCACTTCCACATCCATTGTGGTGAAAGAATCATTTGCCTAAAATAGATAAGAGAGAGGTAGCCAGTCTTTTCATATAATAAGATGTTTTTATGTGATGAGTTGGTAATTGAGTTGTATGAAACTCTTTTTTATATTTTGTTTATACTTTTTTTTAAAAAAATATAATTATTAAATTTTATATCAGAATAACTATTTATAATTTAATTTGAAATTTTCAAACTTAATAATTTGTGTTCATAATTTATTTAGAAAGAAATAAATTTTTTGTTTGATTTAATATAGTCAAATGTTAAATCAATAAAAAAAAAAGATAGAAATACACATTATCTAAGTGTGACAGCACATCGCGCGAAAAAGCCGCCTTTACTTTCTATTTGCGGCCACAAAAAAAAAAAAACTCTTAGGGTTTTTAGGGAAGATGTATGAATATTCCTCTCATCCGTCTGCGCCAACAACTGCGAAGCCACGCTCGTTTGATGAAACAATGTATCCTGGCAACCTACATGGAAACGAACCGAAGATAGGAATAGACCTCACTTTATGAGTTTTTTTTTGTGTCAAATACTTTAATTCATGCATTACAGATGACATCAAAGTACATATTAGTTCAATAACTCTAAATTTATGTAATTCTGGACCTTATTTATCTTTTATTTATGATTTGTTATTGTTATATATAGTATTGTTTATAACGTTGAAAATTTTATTTGCGAAAATTTTAATATTTAATTTAATATTAAAAAATATATAATTATTAAATTTCATGTAAAAACTATTAATTTTTTGTTGTAGAATATAATTTTGCATATCCAATTTATAGGTAACTACTTTTTTCTTAATTAAATTTTTACATAAGAATTAAATTTTTAGCATTACTTGCACGTTCTGCAAATATAAAATGTAAATACTAATTTTTTAACGAACAATTTTATGATGCTAAAATAAATAATTATAATGACTAAAAATTTTATTTAGAAATAATTTTATTTATGTATTTTTCTCTTTTTATATATACACACACACACACACAACATATAAGATGGTATTACATTAGAGACAAGAGATATAAACATTTTTTATTAACTAAAATTCTTACATTGTTTTTCTAAAAATTTATATATAAATAAAAACAATATTGACAAAACACAAACCCAATTTAAAAAATTATAAAGTAAAAGAAACAAAAGAGAATAATAGTTGGGTTGGGAAGAGGGAGGCATGGGGAGGAATTAATAAGAGCAATGGGAGGGTTGTTGAGTTTCTTCGTATAAAACCAAAAGTAAAAAAGATGGGGAGGAAGACACTGCCAGCGAATCACAAATTCAGACCACCCCACTGCACGTGCACCCTTACTACTGCTCCTGCTCCTACTACTACTGTCTAATCACTTCCCCCCCCCCCCCCCCCCTTCATTCATCTCACTCTCCTCTTTTCTTTCCCCTTCAAATGTCTAATCATATACGGCTTTAACATATGAAATTTTTAAGTAGAACCAATGAAAATTGGACATGGATTCTTCCAATTAGTGATGTTGATTTGAGTTAAACACTATTATTATTACTATCAACTCTCGAAAACATGTCAGAGAGTAATTTCATGGGTCGGATGGAAATCCTTGTTCACAAAATCATAAGAAAAGATAAACAGATATCCAAGGAAAAAACCTTGTTCGTCTGCACCAACTCTTTTGTATTAAAATAAATCATCCTTATCTCCCAACGTCTGTATAGCCTCCGTTGATGTGTAACCTTTGGTCATCTCTCTCTTTCCATTAAACCATCGTTGCGCCTCCGTTCCCGCATCGTCAAATTCAGGGGGTTGAATTTTTTTGTGCTGCCTGGCTCTCCTTCCTCTCTTAATTACCTAATAATACTATTCTAGACACACATAACTCATCAAGAAAAAACAAGAGAAATATATATATACATATGGTTGACACACCAGTTTTTCAATGTTACGTAGGCATCATATTTCTCCCCGCTCGCAAACTCTTCACACCACAACCATATTTCTACTAAATTCAATCAATGATACCGTGAATACCCTAGAAAGGCGTCGCTATGTTTGGTGAGGAACGGAGTCAACGAAATAACAACGGGAGCCGGTGGTAGGAATCGTTGTCTAAAAGATTCAAAGTCTTGCATCCGTTCTCCTTTCTGCAACCGAAGATACCTTCCACCATCCATTTTGCAGTCAATAGCCCATCCCCTGCATGCATGGTCAGGTTGCAGAGATACACAAAAAAGTTATCCTGATTCAGGCGAAGATATGATCAATGACTGTATGCCTGCTGTTATACAATATCTAGTACACACGCAAAGTTTCAAACCCACAAATCAAACTTTAATATATATGAAGAAAGGTAACCAAAAAAAGCAAGAAAAACATCATTTTTATGGCATTCAATATGTACATAATAGTTGTAAAAATACACTTTGAGGAAAGTGGGGGCTTAGCTCATCATATACGTCCTTCATCAAAGTGATATCCAGCTGAGTCAATTATCAGTCAAATGGTGGTCATGACATAATCAATGTATGATTTAATTGGCTGATCATATCACCAACTTCAGCCATCACTTGGCTTAAACTCAATTTTCTCACAGACGAAAATCAAAGTCCAGCTGTTATATATGCATGCCAGTAAAACAAGTAGAAAACCAAGTTTGAAAAGTGGAATAAAAGTTATAGCTAGCCCCTCCGGCTTTTCTTTTTCTCTCTTTCACTGAGCAAACTGAGATTATTTTACAATATCCATGAGCGTATATTACTAATAAGTGGGATCGCACTTTGCCCAAGAAGCTTATCCCATCCCTCCTCCCTTCCTTCATATCTTATCTTTTCCATGTTCAACTTGTGGGGTCTTAACTTCGAGCGAGAACTTCGAAAGATTTCTCTGATCAAGCACCACTCTCTAAAGAGAAAAAAGAAAGAGAGGGACACTGTCCCTCTTTCCTATGGACCTTACCAGCAATAATTTACATAAACTTTTAAAAACCATGAGATGCATGTTCGTACGGTTTCGTAACAAGATGCGAGATACTATAAAGGAAGCAACGGTACAGCACGGCAACGCCCAGCAACTACATATCATATATATATATATATATATATATATAAATAACTACTTGATAAATATCATCACTAAATACTCATTCACCTATAAGCTAGCTACCTGTCATGTCAAACCATTAAATGGCCCTTCAAAAAACTATGGTTCTTCCCATGGCTACAACTATATAAACCTTTTTCCTTTCCACTTTCTATCACCATCCATATGCTCTCTTTTTCTCTTCACTACTTAGTTTAGCACATTCAACTCTGTCTCTCTCCCTTTCTCTTCCCCATGAATAAAAATATGAAGGGTAAGTTCGTACAGGCATGCTTGAACAAATGGAGGAAGATGGGGAGCAGAGTCATACCTTGCGCAGCATGTGAGTACTGTTATCAATGGGGTTTTTGGTCCGCCAACGAAGGTAGCTCAATTCCAAGAGATGTCCCAAAGGGTCACTTAGTTGTGTATGTAGGACAGAACCATAAGAGATTTGTGATAAAAATTACCTTACTCAAGCACCCACTCTTCAAGGCATTGTTGGACCAAGCCCAGGATGAATATGACTTCACCACTGACTCCAAACTCTGCATTCCTTGTGACGAAAACATCTTCCTCGAGGTAGTTCGATGTGCTGCCTCACCGCTGCAGGATCGGAGAACTTCTCTCTGTCTTTAGGAATTCTTCAATTGTGCTTTAGAAAAATTTGATTGATTCATGAGACTCAAGGTCTAATGAGAAAGTTAAATTTATATGCAACTACCATATATTAATTGTACACAACTAAACTAGAATTTTGTAACTTAACAATCCTCAACCTCATGAGTGTAATTGAATCCA